TGTAAATCATTTAGCAAAACTATTTATCCGATAATATGTTTAACGGTGATAATTTAGAATATTTTTCTGAGCATTAATCTTTAAAAAGAAGCCAAGCCATAGCCATGATATAATAGTCTAACCCAAACCAAGACTAAAAATTGCAGAGCAACCAGTAAAGGGTATCCTCTTATTTTGTCTAAAGCTGTCTCTAACACGCTTTGCACTCAAATTTATCTACTAATATTCACCAGTAGGAATCCTAGCACTGTTATACAGGTATGTATGTGTAGTGTCTGTGGAATTAGTGTAATATAGCGCGGTATTTATAGAATAGTGTCGTATCCGCGCTAAGCCGGTATCGCAGTACGCATTCTCTGACATACTGCCGCGACGCAATGCCTATATCGGGTTTATGATTACTGGACCAAGCATACAAGGCTTCTACAAAAAATAAAAATAAGAGGATTAAGGACTTAGTTCCAATGAGGATGTGTTAACTGACTGGATCTTTCTCGGTCTGTTAGTTGGGCGGATGTAGATCGACTCAGGCATATAATGGATCTGAGTTATTTTGCTAAGTATTTGACAACACAGATTGTTGGTATTGTGTGTATTGATCTATGACTTTAGTCTACATAAAAGACGATTTCAATTTTTTTATGACCTCAGTTTAATGGTTAGTGATCTTTATTGTTAAGAAGCTAGAGGTCGTGGGTTCAATTCCCACGCGGGCAAATTATTGTCTGATGAGCACAATAGTTTTTCCTGAGTCTGGATTTAAGTTAGCTAACATATGTATGTATTAACAAATATATATTTAGTTTGTTAAAGCGTAATGTTTTATAGCCTATTTTATGACTAAATACATACTCTACCCAAAACAAAGTCAGTCAAATTCGACGGGCAGTTTTAGAGATTAGTTTTAGAAAAAATATAGTTTTATTATATTACTACAGATAAAAATATGTTTTACCGTCTGTGATGTTATCTAAAATAAAGCTGTGTAGAAAGAAACGGTTACTGATTTTTGCATAAACCACCAATTGAACAAATAAATAAATATACTGGCAACACTGCTCCTTACGTCACTGTCAAGTATTTCAAACTCAAGTACAATCTTCTGGCCAGTACAAGAACTACGGTAAATCGTGTGAAGATGAAGACGTCATTATCCATCTCTTTGTACGCTTTGTTCGACACCAATTAGAGGTGTTCGCTCTTACCAACCTATTATCACTTAATAGACTAGTTCAGCTTCAGTCCGCTCGCCGCTTTGTCTTGTACAAATAATTTTACTGTAGTTACGTTGTATGTTCATTGTATTTGAGGTTGGTAATGGAAGGAATTCCCCCGAGTTTTAGCTTAAACTAGCATAACGGACTCCTAAGGATATAATTTCTTGTAGCATATTTGTTGTTAATTACATAACATAAAACATATATTTTAACCGAATTACTGTTATAATATGCCAACACTATTGAGAGCTACTGTAATTAAATTGCAGTTTAGAGTAAAAATATATATGTAAATGCTACAGTAGGAATAAAACTATAAACCAGAAGAAGAACCTAAGGCCAACTTTGTAAGGCTTTTTAAATCAAAAACATGGCAACTTCCAGGGAAGTAGAGCAGTTCCCACTATCGAAGAGTTAAATTTTCTTTAATGGAAATTTACTGCACCTTCATATGCTTAAGCAATGAGACAAAAAATATAGTAACATAGGAAAATGTATCTAAGGAAGGCGACATACATACGTGTGCAAACATTTTAATAATTAAATTTCACATCTGGCAACTCTAAGGCTTACATCGTAACATAGCAACACACATCATTTTTCACGTTGTCGTTGTTGCGGCAAGGCGTAGGTACGTACAGGATTGTTTGGCTGGCGGCTCCGAAATAATAAATCAGCTGTATCCTAAGTAAGCGTTTTAAAGTTTGAATATGCGCTTTACTGAGTTTTCTATGTCATTTTTACTAAATTCAAAACAGAGGAAATTTTGGCAGGATTGAGGTTTTAGAAATGATATACGAAGAAGGATTCCTTATTATTGGTAAAGATGTAACTTTATAAATCTTATTTTAATGTGAAGTTAGTTAGTTTAGGTTTCCTCAACTTGGATTATCTCTTTAAAAAGGTATCTTTACTTATTAATATATTTTTTTCCGTTTACGCTCACATTTAAAACCACCGTTTAAAATCTTAACATGTTTCAAAATCAATTCAATAGTAGGTACTACAAATAAAGCAGCAATTTCTATCTATCAAAACCGGCTATTTAATATATAAAAATGCTATAAAAGCCACAACCACGTCCGCCCATGCGGCCCCAGTGCGCAAAAAGCAGCAAAAAAAGCCAAAAAGATGTCGACACGTTCGCAGGACAGACCCGCCTGTGAAATATGGCCACCCCGGACACTCCCAAACGTGTGGATACCCTGTTATTTATTTATAACCCTGTACACTGTTAATGGATATATTTTTTAATGATTTTAATGGACAAAGGGTGACATGATTATATGTCCAATAAAAGGACAAATTAATACGGAGGCGTGTGCAAATTAGAGTTTGTTTTTTTTATTAATTACATTCGGGTTCATGTTGGCATCGAAGCGTTATTTTCTTTCATAAAAAGGTATTTATTGAAAGTACTTCCTAGGGTTGTTTAGGAAGGGATTACCTTTTAAAAAAATTACGTGTATGTGTCATTTTGGAGTTGTTATTCTCTTGAAAGTCCATGAGATATAAAATCAGATTTGTAAACAAAACTCGGTGGAAGACCAAATTCAAAGTACCATGTTTGTACTGATATTTATTTTATCATTACTATATCTATGCAATTAGTCTATAATCAGCATCATGTGAATAAGCGTTGTTTAGTGTTTACAACTTATGGTTTTATAAATAGCTTCAAATGAACTTTACACCGTCAGATGTCGTTAAAAAAATATCTTGTACTTTTTAGTCTGGTTTCCTATCTTTCTGTTTTTTTACTATTCTTTTGTGTAATGGCTAAATAATAAAATTTATAAATTTAATAATATATGTTTGTCAACGGTACTAATATACAGTTCTGAAAAATAAAATAAAACATGTTCGTTATCGATTAAATCACATTCTATTTTTATTTACCCTTTTTTATGCTTCTATTGAGGCTTCCAACAGGCCTCAGACTGAAGGAGTGAATTAAAAAGTAAGTTTAAAGAGTTCGTTACATAGACAAATAGATCTAGTTAGTATAAAAGTGTCAAAAAAAATTAAAGGAAAGCGAAAACACTTTCACTTTCTTTAACACATCTTTTGTTTATGCCGTTATTTTTCTTAAAAAATACTACCACGTATAAATAAACGCCAATATTTACCCCAAATTTCTATATCGTACGTATTTTCCCCGCTTCGAGACGATAAGTTAATAAATTACTTACACATCTTACATCTCAACAAAGCTCAGGTGTAACAGTTTCAGACCATTGGTCTGACAAAGCGCCCTTTCTCTTCCCTCCCTTCTTATACCCCTTTTACCTCATTTCTCCTGTTCTATACTCTATTGACAAATTCCGCCCCTGATTGGGATAGGGTTGATGATAAAGACCGTGTGTCGGCAACGAATTGCGGGGAATTTTGTTTTTCGAATTTGTTTTGGAAGCTTCCATTTTTAAATTATAAAATAAGGAAGTTGATGCCGTTTCCCTTGTATAAGTTTCTATCATTCTGCTTTTTGGTTGCAGTAGACAAAAATAATTTGATATACATATATACATTCGCACACTCACGCCTGTATCTTTGAAGGGGTAATCAGAGGTGGATTAATGTTACGTTATATGTTGAACGTCGGTTGTCGTCAATAATATACTTTGCGAATTAACGTTGGTAGAAATGGGGAGCATATTGAAATGCAAAGGCAGGTAAGCAGAGATGGTAATGAATTAAAGAGATATTGCTTTTACGCAGGGATAGGGGAGTATTAACTATAGCTAGAGTTCAAAGTTGTACGCTTGTAATTAAACTAACAGCCCATGGTTACACCTTTGATGATATTTAGGCTGGCCTTCTGGGGAAGACCGATAACTGAGACCGTAGTTAACCGACTTTTAAAAACAACGAATCTCATCTGTTTAAATTTTAAAATATTACTGTGTACACACTGTGTGCTACATAACTGCATGTAGATAATAATATTACTGTATATTTTATTAAGGGGTTAAATTTAAAACTTCAAAAGTTGTGTTCTAAGCGCCGTTATTTTTAAAATTATAAATTTTATAGGTGTCTCAAATTACATAATCGAAATCCAGTATCTATGTGTTCAATTAAAAAGTAGTTAAATTGTTAAAGTGAAACGTAAATGGTAGTCAGGGCGGGCATAACTTAGTTTTCCGGATGAGTTGGAAGCTTTTCCCATAGAAAATGCACCAGCGGATCCTTTAGATATAGTCCGTCACTAGACAGTAAAAAGTAGTAGTCAAAATGTATGACACACAGAATGATAAATATACATTAGATATTTTTAATTGATACTTTGAAAACTTTGAATGAGTTTTTATTATTTACGTAAAAGGAATTTACCAAATTCGCAAATATACATATAGTACATAATATATGTATATGATATAGTTTTTTTCTATAAAACTCTTTTACGAAAATATAAATTATGTTCATTCGCAAAACGGTATGAACTTAATGAAATTTGATGTAGGATTGTAATTATTAGTATATATATTTGCGATGTGAAGAAATTCTACATACACAGATACGAGTACATTCTTCTTACATTTAATCGAGTAGAAGTGTAAGAAAGAAGTAAGTTGCTCAACCCCCTGAAAGGTAACTCTGGCGTGGGAACGTCAGTAGTAACTTTCCATCAGGGGACCGGTCAAATCGTTTGCTACCTGTGCCGTAAACATAATAAGAAAAAAGTAAAATCAAAAAAAAAAAACAATTTTTCAAATATTCAAATATTATCATGAAAAAATACATCGCGTTGGCATAGACAATAAGAAATCTATTTTGTTTCAGATAACCGACACCAGTTCAAATAACATCAACGACGCGTGCAGTCTCATGTCACCGGTATGTACAATATTAGGATTAGAATGAATTGTAATGTTTGAAATATACTTTGTAATATTCCACTTAGGCCCATTTCAGTCTAGCATGACAGATGGCCTCTATTTTACGATCCTCGAGAAAGGTTTCACATTTTCTTCAAGGGCCCACACATAAAACTAGGATCTCCAATATCGCGCCATCTGCCGTTCAATGATCTCCAAAATATCACTCAAAGAGCACAAATTACGGGATCTACTTTGGTTTATTCCCATCAAGTGCGAAGGGGACAGTTTTCATAAAGGCCCCGCCTATGCGGAATGCGTAAGAATAAAATTCCGACTTTACGACGGATGCGGAATGTATCGGAACAGTCGTCTCCACCTCTAAATCCTAGCGAACTAATTACGCGAGACGATTCCGTCTCGAACGCGCCACGGGAAAAACATTCATCCTTTTATTTTTGTATTTGAACAAATTTGTCAATTACTTTTGAAGAGGGTCTGTTTCGCTTTGAGGACTAAAGAGAAATACATAAATTAGACGAGTTTCCCTTTGTTTCCTTATATCAAGAGGACAAAAGTTTTAAAATCTTGTTTAGACTCATTATTGTGTCGGTTTTTTTCTGGTTACGGTAAAATTGCTGTTTAGCTTTTCGTAGCGTTGTAAATCGTAGAGGCTTATTTTTAATCCCCTCCCCGCTGGCGCGAGGTCGCGCGGATGGGCTGATTCAACTCGACTTCACCTCCGTCTACAAATAATAAAGAGCCTAAAACAAAGAGAATAAAGAAAGTCCCGAATAATATTTACGCGGCTGCCCTCGTCCGACGGAAACAGAACGTCAGACTTAAATTTTAGGGGTTTTTCCCGGTTTTTCGGTCAAACTTTAGGGACTTTTCCTTCCTGACTTTGTTACTAGAGTTTCGGACCACGCTTTCAAGTTCACGCGGTGGCTTCCCCTTGACTTTTGTTTGAATTTATGTATTATAATAGTCCTGGTAGGATATTATGAAGCAGGTAAAGTGATTTGAAAACATTTCCTACTGTTTTTATTTCAGTAATTGCAGTCCGCAAAGTCCGTCGCTCATTTTGGATTCAGGGAAACGATCAAACTCGTCAGAATTAAGTAACAACATTAACATTTCGATTTATTTGAGAAGAGTGTTTCAAAAATAAGAGGGAAAATGGGTTCTAGGAAAATTTGTACCATTACTAATATTGTGCACCTTTGCCGTGGAATACGAACCCACTTAGTAACATTGAATAATTCATTGTATCGGCAACCAACAATAGGCGAAACAAACAAACAAGAAAGCCTTCGAAACTGTGGCATGTTTGTTTCGGCACTTTCGCCCCCGACCCTCTCCAGGGCCGACGTACGCCCCCCTCGGTGCTTGTTACCTCTTCTGCTTTTAGAGGGCGCATCTGGAACAAGCTTTTAACGACTAATTCATGAGACCCGTACGCAGGTTGGTGTGATAATAAATATGAGCTTAGTGTTTTATCCGTGTTTCTGTTTAAAACATTCATGGATGCAGCGGAATGTTTGTTTAAAATTTTAATCTATGATAGGTGGTTAATCTAAGATATAAAGAATTAATGATAGCAATGTTAGTTGTAATATTTGTTAGTTCCATAAATAATGTTACAGAGACAACGACATATGGTAAACATGTTACTAACATGTGTTCGTGTATTAGGCCGAACAGTCACTAATCTATCAGTTAACAGATAATTAGATACACTTAGAACATCATTAATGAAATTAATTTGGCATACAACTGTTAAATATAATGTAGGTACTCTGTATAGCTTTTAATATTTATTGACATCTTGCTAATTTTTATGACATCTTATTAATTTAATTCTTTAATTCTTGAAATTTTATTGCATTGTCTTTAGTGGATATTTATGTGTGATTGTATGAATGATCTGTGGTCTGTATATCTGATCCAATGTAGTATAGCATATAAGCGTTTTGGTTGTGAGACTGTGAGCTTGTAATGTTACTTAAATAAATACTAAATACAATAAAGGCACTCAGTTCGACTGCAGTGAATTATAATAATAATATAATTTTATTTACATGTGTTTGTGTGTGTGTGTGTGTGTGTGTGTAAAATTACAATGATATATTATGGGGATATAGTGTGTTTGTCTTATCTGCTAATGATAACAGGTCTAAATGAGAAATAAGTGCAGAGAATTAAAATAATTGACCAGACCAGCAATATGTCTTCAATGCTTTTGGTTTCTTAATTTTTACAAAAAGAGCTCATTGCTGTGAGTATTTAATGGATGCCCGAGGTTTTTAGTGGAACTAATCGTGGATCTCCAAATTACGCACGTTAGTAAAACTGTATTTCTATTACATAAAAATAGATCTATGTCCGTATTTGCGTATTTTGTGTCAAACCGTATGTCCGTATTTGCGTATTTTGTGTAAAACCGTATGTCTGTATTTGCGTATTTTGTGTGTCATTTACTAAATCAATTTCAAATTTTGTATAAGTACTCATGACTGTAGGTACAGATAAGAACATAAGATAGATTTAATCCAGGCAAAAGTATCTACTTACTATTCCCGAGGGATTACCAAATTACTTAACCTTTACGCGAAGCAAGGCCGCGGTCAAAGGCAAAATTTTAATTAATCTGTAAGATAAAATCGATTTTATAGTCAACCATCTTTACCTCCAGCAAAATCATAAGTTACAAAACCATTTTATATTTTTTACTTCACAAGAGAATTTAAAACTAAAAGTAGTTAAACGCATAATTAAAGCCATCAACCGCTTACAAGTTTCTGGAGCAAATCGATCGGAACATGTTCACAATAAATATGTAAGTGCAAAAATAAGTGCAAAACTTGTAGCAGCGACACGAATACAAAAGACTATAGCACAAATGGTACACTCCGACTGAATTGACTCCAGCGGGTAATCCGAGAGATGTGAACACACAATAGCAAGACAAGACTTCGTCTAAAAGCTGTTTGAGAATAAATAGCAGCTTTTAAAAGCTGTATAGTTTTTCCCTTTCGAGGTTTTAAGTGGTAGACTGTGGACTTGTATTGTTTTGCAATAGATATAACCCACTTTCTATGTGACTTACTAGAGCGAAATCGAGGAGTTGTATTACAGGACCAAAAATCATGATATCCTTGGACTCTGAAATGTCTCTTTTTGATGGATTTTTAGTCCTGTGTCTAATCCTTGATTAAGAATAGGTTTTATCAACGATTTCCCAGAAGCTTCTGTCTTAGGGTCGGTCTTCGTCAATAGACCTACTTGTGACAGAGCACAGTGTGATTGAAGTCAGTCTGATTCCTACACAACACACTAAATTTAGCCCCGAGGGGACCCGTGGCGAAAAAATACGCTTTATCATAAAGTTGCTAATAAAACTATGTTCATTGTTTAAAGGTTTAAGAATTTCGCAGTTATTTAATATTAAGACCGTAAGGTTCTATATCCATCATTTAAATATTTAAAAACAAAACTAAAATCTCACAGAAACATTTTCTTATTTTCATGTTCAAATTTCGAACATGTAATGTTTTTAATTCAGCCCGCGGTACCATACCGTACGATATTATTCTTATACTTTAAATAGGCGCACATTCTAACAGTGTTGCCAGTGTGAGATAACATAATGCCTAAGGGCTCATAAATAACCAGTACAAATTGCTAGTCTGATACCACACGGTTATCTTAACATTTTTGTTAACCCGTCACATTAGTTCATTTATCAAACAGATACGCCTACCCCTTAGTTTAAATGGCTAGGGGCCAGTTTTTTAAATATTTTAAATAGGTTTTTTTTTGCGAAAACGCAATTTGAAACAATGCTATTTTGTGCAAATTTAAATATTGTTTAAATTATCTTGCAACATTCTCTTGTAAACATAAAATACCAATCAATTTAAGAAAATAAACTTGTTTTAAGTTAGTCTATGGCTGTTTCTTCTTTTTCTATAGCATGGAAAGTGTAACACTGAAACATTTAAAAGTTTTGCCTTCTGTTCTACTTTTAAAAATACGGAACCGAACACAAACCGAAGGATTAAATTGGTTCGTGCCCAATGTCACAAGCCTGAAAAATCGTTAGCCATTAATTACCGTTATCACCCCAGTCTTAAATTAAGTCAAGTAGATACGAACCCTTAATTCTAAACGTCACGGATACCCTCCCAACAGGTATCGACCTCTTTCTTGTTATTTTCAAACAAAAGGCCTTATTAAGATATACATAAGTTGTATGTAGGATTAATGTGTTAGTTGGAAAATAAATTGTGACAGAACGGTATGATTAATGGCCTCCGTTACGAGATAATAAATTAAGAATAAACTATGAAGATTGGCATCTATAAAGCTTAAAAACGTAAACGTAGTAAAAACTATAAAACTTAAAAAAGTACTATACCGCGAAAATACTCAGCATAAATTTGGAATAAAAAAACCTCGAAAATATAAGTATAGAACCGATTCGTCTGTCTCAAATTGTCCATAAAAGCGATATCGAGTCACCCTCGTGTTGTCCCCTCCGAAGATCGTAACAAACGAACGAATGGCTTTCAAATGAGGGCCGGGAACTGAGACACGGTAGCTAGTACAACGAGGGGACTGCACATCTGTCAAACCCTCCCTACATTGGCCAGTTTCGCACTCCTCCTTGACCCGATTGATTGCCTGGTAGAGCGCGCTAAAAGCGTGCCAACGTAACCTTTGACCGCCTTGGAAACTTTATTAAGATTTGAATTATATAGCATGACACTTAGAAACCTTGGCAAGTAGAATATCTTCTCTCTCTCTTAAATTAGATTAGAAGTAGAGACTGCAAGGTTTACTTTGCTATAAAATGTGTCGATAAAGCGTTTGTGACATAGATTTGTTTTATAGAAGGAAACGGTAGCCTAGTACTCAAGTCTTTCTCGAGAAAGAGACTTTTCAGTATAATTTATAATTGGAATGTCTCAATTTTATTTTAAAAAGAAACAAGATTTGCATTCCGAATCCCACGAT